ATGGTCCACAGTAGTCCACAGAAAATTTCTGAGGAATTTTAGATCTTTTACCTTTATTGCACAAAAGGACGAGAGCCGAGTGCTAAAGTGCAAACTGCAATCAGGAAAGAAACAACTGAAGTATACTACCAACACAACATCAGCTTTTTGTATCTCCACAGACAGCATGCTAACACAAAGCTAGAAAAGCAGCCAGAGTGATGTTAAAGCTCAATGTATACTGATACCAGCCCAGTAGCCAGAGCCTGATCTTCAAGTCAGGCTTGTACCATTTTAGCCTCCATTTCTACCAGTACTTTTTGGGCTTCAACTCTGCTTTGCATTCAGCTTAGGGTTCAGCACTTCAGCTTTGGCTTAACCACTTAAAGAAAGGCTGTATTTGTGTTCCAACTAGGATTGGGAACTGTTTTGGGAAGCCGGACTGTAACGTGTTATTTATACCTTCAGCAGGTTTAATACTCACCAGAGAAAAGTAATTTGTGACTTACTTGTTACATTACTTTCTTGTTACTCTGTAAAATGACCTGAAATGCAATGTCTCACAATTACCAGTTAACAACACAAACCTTATGGTACAGTTCCACACACCAACACAAATCGCTATCCTAATGTGGATCTTTTTTTAGTAGTTGTACGCGAACACAAAGCTGACACCATAAAGCAAAGCTCAAAGAGACTTTAAAGTATCATCATGATGATCCTATTTTAGAAACATGAACAGGTAGAAAGGGAGGCTGTAACTTGATTGCTCATCACTGCCTTTTTTTCCCACATGATTCAACAGTTTTTATTCATTATCAGCACAAACACAAAAACAAAACAGAACAAACCACAAAAACAAAGGGAATCATATACATTTAAAGTCATTACGTACATTAACAATTATACATGTGGAAAAGAGAAAAAAGACAGAAAAAAAAGAGGGGGAAAAAGGTATTTACCATCTATTTACCCACAGATTTAAAAAAAGAAACAACAAGAGTGAATTCCCATCCTTTGTGCTCACTTCCTAATACCCTAAAAACAACTGGGCCCTCTCAACAGTTGGGACAGAAGCAAAGGAGACCAAACATTGAGGAACACTACTGTGTTCATCACTGCCTTTGTTACCTGATAAAGTTCAGCGTCAGGCTGTTAGACTGGGGTTGGGATGCGCTGAGCTTTAGTGCCGCTCTGACTTCTAGGCTAGCTTTGTGTTAGCATGCTATAGACTATGTGCACGTTAGCATATGCTACTTCCGGTGCGGAAACTCTTGTGGGGAGCATTGTTTCCGGTGTCCTATTCGCGCCCTGTTTACGGTCCAAAACAAGTTAAGCAAATGAATGAATCAAGCAGCGATTTACATTTCTATAGATGTCTTGGGCATTTACCCAATATATCTGTAAATGCTGTTCATCGACTTGCGATGTTACCCCCCCGCCTCACAGCAAAAGAGAAAAGGGATTCAAATGTTATATTTCTCAGTATCTGTAAACAGCTGCCCCTCGTTTATCACAGGTGTTATGTTCTAAAAATAAGAGTCACACTGCTAGCGATCGATGCAGCGATTCTGTACTGTACAGGAGAGACGTCACGGAGGAGATCGTCTGCAGCGATCAGGACGCAGGACACAATGTGACATAAAATAAAACATGCAAACTTGCACTAAAAATCTGCGAAACATCGGGGTTGAAAGGTGAACCGTGTTATAGCGAGGGACCACTGTAATTTTGAAGGTAAGTCACAACATACCCTTCGTAAATACTAATGTATAGAAACCCTTACCAGCAATCATTCATTTTTTGTGTGGCTTTTTTTTCACGGTTTGTTAACATGCTGTGTAGGTGTGTACTTGACTAGCTGATATCAACATAACGGGGGAAACATCTGGTTTGACTATTCTTCACCTATAGTTTGAATGCTGAACATTTTCCTGTTTAAATCATAATAACTGTCACTATACAGAGATGTGCTTCTGAATGTGGACGATGTGTCTTCTGATTCTGTAATGCAGTTCTGCTTGTGTTGAGTGATGTAAACAACTGATCGATCTAAACTCTTTAAACGTCAAAACTAATCATTAGATTTTTTATGACACAACAGTGGTGAGTGTTCCCACCTTCTCCTCTTTGTAACTTAACGCGATCTTTCCGTTTTCGAGTTTCGCTACCTGATCCGCAGTAGCGATTGACCGCAAAGTAAAGCTACCGGAAATATACAACCCCACATCCGGTCTCAAACCAGGAAGTTAGCATTTTCTCGTGCACAGGGTCTATTTAGCAGTTATTTAGTTAGTTAGCAGTATAATACACTTGTCTCTCGTCTTTTTGGTTAATAAAGATAAATGTAATGACCACGCCACTATTTTCCTCTTCCACAGATGAGCTGAAATTAGATGACTGTAGTGTAAGAGCACAGGTAGACAAAAAGCATGTTTGTTTGATGTTTTTCTCCTCTATCCTTCCAACATGCAGATAATTGAAGAACCTTTGTGTAATGTATTAGCTGAATTTAATAGTGAAAAGTGTAATCTGGTTACTGGTCACATGTTATGGAGTAGTGCAAAAGAATGTAACAAATTAATATTAATGTTAAATATTCATATTTAATTTTAAATTACTATTAAGTAGGAATAAATACATTCAAGTTTTTCTGCTTGCTTGCACAAATTACTCACAAGTGAAAAAACAAAATAGTTCCAATTTAAGGTTATATTTTATGGTTTAAGGTTGTTCTCCTTGCATATGGTTGTATGAGGACATTGCTACGCCACATTGCTACTCTGTGATAATCTTTTTTTCCTTTTATAACCTTCCAAATCTTGGATAGGCTCCCTGAAGAAGAGCTTCACACAGTGCTGATGAAAAGGCATGGCATGACACATGCTTGATTTCAATCTCTATCTCTCCACCTTCAGTCACTTCATGCATTCCCAAGGAACAGGGGCCTTGTTTCCTCAATCTCTTCAGTCGTGCCAAGCAATTGTCTGTAAGTTTGCCATCAGATCACTATCAGCTTGTCTGCAGGAGGGAGGGGGAAAGTGGCCCCCGTCTGCTTGCATGGTGGTTTGAAATGCATGGCTTCATCTTATTTCTTTATCAAGCCCAACTGATGTGTGAATATAAAATGTCTATATATTTTCGCTTTATAGCCCTTCAGTTCAAGAATCTTCTGCCAAAAGCACTGGAGAAGCTGTGAAAGCAAAAAGCTGATACATCAAATGCCTACGTGGGTATGCATGCACATGTGCGGGTGAGTGTGCATGTGCTTATAAGTGCTTCAAGATTTACTTAAGTTACCCAGAGGAAGCTTTCAGAAAAAAAAGGCACACTCTCAAACATATACTCTGTCAAGACTTATCTTCGCCCCCCAGAGGCAGCAAGACAAAGCTCACACATTTTATAAAGTCTCCAATGGTAAATGAGGCGTTTGAAGAATTGCAAATGCCAGGGAGCGCATACACTGACAGTTAATTTTTATAACCTTTTGTGAAAAGACTTACCAGGCAAACATTCAACCTGAGACAGACCCCATCACTTGTGTCCCCATCCACCCACTCAACCCAGTAATTCATTGCATTTCTATCTCTATCAACCCACACAAGACCAGAAATTACTGTTACTGCTTAAACTAAACCAAAATATGTCACTGCTCTTTACTGGTTTAATAAGCATTTTATAAAGCATCAGAAAGCACAGTTCAGGTTGAAATGGCTATAATCAGTATTTTTAGATTAACAATGGAACATGTTTTTTGGGTCGCTCTGACAAACCCACAAACAATTATGCATTTCCTCCCAGCTCCCATGAGCTTTATAGCCTTTTTAGGCTAATTGTTTTGTCAGACTGCAGAGTTAGTATTTTGGTTCACTGTCTCCATACACTGACAGCTGTTTTCACTATTTAAAAAAGTTTAGTGTGTTTTGGTTTGTTTTTGTTTTTTTTAAGATTTATGACATTTTGATCTCTGTGTGTATATGTTAAAAACTGGGATTTCCTTTTTACATGATTCTATTGGTATCCCATTCTGAACCTTGGTTCTTGTGATTTTCAGTCTACAGTTTCTGATATTACTTTATTTTTGACCTTGTAATGAAGTTCAGCTTTGGTAATCCAGTGTTTTGGTTCACATCTTAATTATTATTACATTTTTTGTCTTCCTTCTCTTATCCCTCCCTAAGCCTTATTCTGCCAGAGGTTTCTTCCTGTTGAAAGGGAGTTTTTCCTTCTCACTGTCGCCAAAGTACTTGCTGATAGGGGGTCATATGATTGTTGGTTTTTTCTCTGCATGCATCATTGTAGGGTCTACCTTACAATATAAAGCATTTTGAGGCGACTGTTGTTGTGATTTGGCGTACAAATAGAATTGAAATGAAATTGAATTATTCTTCATTGTAGTTTATTTCCTTTGTCTCTTTCTTCATGTGTAGTGTGAGTCTCCTTATGTCCACATTCAGTATCTTTCTCTTAGGTTGGCATCTTGTTAAGTGTTAGCATTCATTATATTAGTCTCCTTTGGCTATTTCCTGCTTTACTTTGAAAGTTTATTTTCTTAGTTTTACTTCCTATCTGTCTCTACCTGATTGTCCTGATTGCCTTCACCACTCTCCTATCTGTCATTCCCCAATCAGCCCTCTGTTATAAATAGTCCTGTCTTCCCTTTAGCAGACTGCAGAGTTAGCATTTGTCATAGCATTTGTTATTTTTCCCTTGTCTATTCCTCACGCACTGTCTTGTCTTGTCTTGTCTTTTTTCCATCACTTTTTGTGGTTTTTCAACCTTCAGCTTCCTGCAGTTGGGCCCTAACCTTTACGCTCCACACAACCTGACAATATCATTAGATTCCACCTTTTCAGACCTCAAATTTTATCCCAAAGTTCTTGCAGTGCTTTGGCTAGAGCTGGTTTTAGCCTGTTCTCAGGTGGCTACTTAATGGAGTTTTGAAACTTACCAAACAGCCACTTCATCAAACGTTCATCAAATTACTAACATTATAATTATTGTGAGCTTTTAGCACTGACCTGAACTTCGATGCCATATCCCAGGTAGACAGTAATCAAGTAGTTACACTCCACTCCCGAGTCAAGTTGCTGCAGGATTTCAATGTTACCCTCAGGGTCAGTGAAATTCAGACTACACGGCTCTGTGGAAGAAAGTAAAATGACAAGTGATTCCCTTTTTCCCGGATCACTGATCTTTCTGACAGCCCACCTGTGTCTCCCTGGCCCTGTAACCCTCTAACTATCTCTGCAGAGATCCTCTCTGACACTACTCATCTGGGCCTTCAGCCCTCTGTGGCCAGTGGGAAGGGCGGGCAGGACACATCAGGAAAAATCAGATTGTTTTTGACATATGAGCAACTCCGTTATCCCTGACGGAAAGATGAATAGCTGTGTGCAGAATGCAAAATGAACAGGAGTAATGCTGAGGATTTGATGCTTAATTTTCTTTTCCTCTGGGATACATGTGTTATATTTAAGGGTAAATGTCCAGCTCAGTACAGTACATCCTTGAAAGTCAGAGAAAAAGAAAAAGAATATTACTCTGCCTACCTGATGTTTGCATGGTGGTGATGGTGGTAGTTGTGGTAACAGTCGTGGACATTGTTGTGGTGTCTTTCTCTGAAGAAGCCGGAGTGAGCTTGTGGAGCTGATGACCAGGGCTGGTTTTGTTTTTTAGTGCCATTTCACTAGCTTCCCCCTTTTCCATCTTCCCCGAGGTGGCCTCTTCCGGAGAAGCACCCAAACTCTGAGGCTGACTTCCTAGTGAAGATGAGGGAGGTACTCCGCTGTTTTCACCACCTGAACCTCTGTTATTTGGTGTCACCTGGGTGGTAAGTGAGTGTGTTGTTGGATCGACCTTGTCTGTCCCCCTGGTCCTCTCCTTTGATTTCTTTTGAGGCATAGACATGGGCAGTGCTGGTGTTGTGGGGGAAAATGTAGTCAGCGGTGATGTGGCAGCCACAGTAGCAGTAGAGGCAACATCTGAAAAAGCTGGAGCATCCTCATGGGGCACAAGTTGAGTGACAAGGTCTGCTGCATTTGGAGCAGACACAGAGCCTGGCATGGTGGGATATGCAGCCACATAGCCATCCTTCCGAAAAAAATGCTGGTCCCCCCGGAAGTCCCTTGTAAGTAAATGCTCATGAAGCAGCAGGCCCTTGAAGACTGGCTGGTGGTTGGGGATGTTCATTGGTGAGACGGTAGTGATGGAATGGACTTCACTTTCTGTGTCCTGCGTTGATGAGTGTGTGAAGAGGTCCCTGTCTAGGTCCAGTGTCCTCTTACTGATGCTGTTACTATCTTTTGCAACTGAAAATTAAAAGAAAAAAGGAGAAAAAAAAGTAATATAGTTATATTAAGCAAAATATTACAGTCCAGTGATCTATAGAAGCAACATGCAGTATACGAGAGTAGTATGTCTTTTTGACAGTTTCATTATAGAATCATCAACTCTGCCAGCCTATAATCTTGCAAAATTATGCCTAATGAGGTGAGAGGCTCTCCTCTTGTATAATTCTTCCACACTTTCTTTTTTGAGTTTTGCTATTTTTAATCAGTTCATTATGCATGTGTGTGTATATGTGTGTGTGCGTGCATCTGCGTGCAGTGAGGCTGGAGAAACTATGACCATAATAAAGTCCTTTATAAATTTATTCACTAGCAAGTCAGTCTAATAGGTTAACATAAATATAATATATAGTATGAATATTACTGTACAGAGGGAGTATTTAAACACATGGAGTGTATCCATCTTCTATGTTAATGTAAAAAACTTTTAGTACTTAACATATTGGGGTATTTTTAAGACCATGAACACAATTAATAAGGTAGTATCAAAAACAGATTCCATAATTACACTCTGCATTCAATGAAAGCTTGGCGTGAGACTGAGAGGATGTAGTCTAGCTTTTAACAAGAAAAAAAAGTAAAAACACCACCAAATGAAAACAAGCTCTCTATTAGTCAATCATGGGTAAAATCAGTTATCATTAACCATCTAAATCATAGGTGTCAAACTCTGGCCCGCGAAGCCATACCAAATTACTATTAGAGCTGGCCTACTGGTATTATACAGTTAATATATATATTGTTTAGTATTAAGCTTTGCTTGTTCCATATTCAGTTTTTCAGCAAAACTTGTTTGAGTCCATAAGAAAAGATTCATTCTTATATCTAGAGGAAGATTTTTTTTTTTTCAATAAATATTAGCGTTAGCCCGCGACTTTGTTCCAGTTTTCGAATTTTGGCCCACTGTGTATTTGAGTTTGACACCCCTGATCTAAATCATCCCAAACTAAGCAGTCATTTTGCCATTCTGATACTGGCACTTCTAACATTTTAAAAAATATATCTAACTTTCAGTATTTGACACATCAGCCTGGTACTATTTCAATAATATGTAGGGTTTGTTAAGGTTTGCAAGTTCATATTATCTTCTTTTATACACATATGTCAACAAGAAACAATGCTGTCAGCTTTGGCACTTTAATTAGCTTGCATTTGGGGTGACAGTTTGCCTTAATGAGGCAAAATAGCTGCCGGCACACTTTTCACACTTAAAGATGAAAGGATGTTGTTGACACCGTGGCAGCAAATCAATGAGATATCCCTATGTGAGTGCTTCTATTACAGCACTCCAAGAGCATGACAGAATCTAAGTTTGAAATCAAAACCAATGGAAGACGCCGTTATATATTTAGGGCTTCAGTCAGAGAAGCCTAAAGGCTTGTCAGCAACCATCTGGCAACCACCGGAATTGAGAAAAAAAAGTGTATTCCCCAACTAGTTGTGAGTGGCTGCTGGAGGTAGCTCATATTTGCTGTGAAATCAATTGCTAAAGCCTCCTTCACACAGGTCAAAAGACTGGTCAGTGACTCTAGGTAGTCATGAGTCGCTAGGAAGAATATGTATTCTGTGAGAGGCTGATAGATGGCAATCATTAGTGTGAAACTGGTTATAAAGAACTATACAGTGATGCACCTTGAAACTGCTTTGATTGCTAGCAGGTTGAAAGTCACTATTGGTATGCATGGAAGACACTGCCTTTTTCACAAACATAAAAAAGTTTACCAGCTTTACTTCAGTTTATGTGCACTGCTACAGCATTAAACCGCATGCTCATTGACTAACAACTTGTGATTAACAAGCTTGTGGTTGAGCATGAGCATGTGGTGTCATATAGATAATTCTTCGTTTCTGGAAGATGGTATAACAACGATTTACAAAATGGACTTTTTTTTTTTTAATATATGACCAAAAGTGAATGACCGAGCCCATAAACTTAGCAGGAAAGTGTTTACAGAGCTCAAGTCTTCTTCTATTGGGAGCCTTTGTGCAACCACAGCTCTTGCCATCTGGTCACTTTCAGTTACAGTGCATGTTGAAGCTACTTCTGTGATGGCTTCATTTTTCCAACCTGGAAGCTGCATCTGTGTTTTATATTGTCGGGAGAATATTTAACTATAGGGACCAGAGGGTGCTAGGTGATCATCCACTGGTCTCTAGGCCTTTGTGATTCCCTTAGAGGTCATTTGCACAAAAAATGTTGAGTACATAGATACACAGCACACGCACTGTTTGTGCCTTGAAATTCTAGATAAGCCTGTTTCTTTAATCGTACATGAATTTATACCATGATCCTCAGCGTGAACTCTTACAGAACTCTGTTTCATCCTCTTTCCTCACATCTGATTCAATTATAAAGCTTGCATATTCTTCAATCGACCGACACTTTTCAATGTGTTGATTATAAGAACCCGTCACTTTCTTGCCTATGAAATATAGCATATATTTCAGGCTCAAATCAGCCTGCCAGTTGGTAAACATTCACCCTGCAAAGTCAAATTTGAAGTTATTGATTTCCTAAGGATTCCACAACAGGAAACATACATTTGGGTTTTTAAAAAAGAAATAGTATCTGAATAAATCTGAAAAATTGCTGTGCCGAAGGAGACGCTCTGCTTTGCTCATAAACTTGGAAAGAAGTTGTAAGGTTCTGTAACATTTTGCTGACGCAGAGTACTTTTTACCACCACCGGGCACATTGATAAAACTTTGATTGGGCTATTCAAGAGGAAGAGTAAACAGCTTTATTACAAAGCCTCTCCTAGGCGGACAGAATTGACACATGGTTTTACATTTTACTGACAAACACGACAACACCACATTCATCTTTTGTGGTGACAGAAGCAATTCAAAGACCTTTTGATGTTCTAAGATGGAGGAGAAACATTTCCTTGTAGCCTTATTCTGTCACAACAAGGGGAGCAAGAATGGTGCTATAAAGGCAAACTAAGCATATTTGACATGTCATTCTAGCAGAGAGAATAAAGAGACTAAAGGGGGGGTCTTCATAAATGATTGAAGTATATAAGACTGGCCTTCAACAATCTCAAAGACACACATACACACATATTGCATAATAAATTGAGAGTTTTTATTTATTCATTTATTTATTTTTATCATAATTACTGTAATTGCTCCTTGTGGCTGTTAAGCCCTGCCTCCTACTGTCTTATCTTCCTCTCCCTCTGTCTCTGTCTTTGTAGCACAGATTTCGACCATCTATTTTCTGCCCTCCAGTCAGAATATTGAGTGAATGTGGAGAGTGAGGATGGAAGGCTGGGTTGAACCAGAGTTTCTCATACACAGATCAATAGAGGATCAATGTGTACAGGTTGAAGACCTCACTGTGGTGATTACAGAGAGGCACTGCTACCATATTGTTCTAATCTCCAAACTTTAATTGGCTGTTTACAGCTGAGGTTTGGAGCAACAGGGAGAAACTGAATTTTAAGTACCATTTCTATTAGTATTTATGCATTTTAACATGTATTTTTATTATCTCAACAAATTGGACAGTTAATCAATAAAATAATTTTGAAGAAATCTAATCAGGAAAGTAATTTATTTATTAGTTTCAACCTGAAAAAAAAAACATGTTAAAATTAGTTATGCTTCATCCAGGTACATCACTAAAATACTGACTGCATATAATTAATTGTCTAATGCTATAATTCAAGCCAAAAAATTGGCTTGAAGTTCCCTTTTTAAATTTAAATTCCTTTATTTCAAACTGGTTCAGCCGTCGTGATGTCAAGGATCATCACTTTTAATGAGCACTGGTTTTCTTGGAAGAACCATCTTGTTCAAGTCCGAAGTGGTCAGGTTGAGAGCATGGCCAGGCTCATCATCATTTTGGGGTTTTTTGTTTGTTTGTTTTTACTTCACCATTTGTGGGGTTCATTTGCCAGGAATTTTTCAACAGTAGTCTAAACGAAAATAATATTCTGCTTAAGTAGCCTGAACTGTAATTTTAGTCCTCTCTCATACACGTTCTCAAATAATGCAAAAAAAAAAAAAAAAAGCAAGACCAAAAGCAAAGCTTTCAAAATGTCATGCAAATGTTTAAATTGTGATGCTATTCATGGTAATGTTACATTATGAAAAATAACTGGCGTTTTTCTCAGGCGGCATTCCTCATAATACAGACACACCTTGTTGCTGAAGTTGTGAAAAAAAGAAAGTAAGACTATGTAGTTGGGAAAAACTAAGTATGCCTTGTGATTTAGTAGCTTCCCATATGGAAAAGAAATAGTAAAAACTTATATGATTTACTCATTAAAGTGGCCACTTTCTCATTACTTTCATATATTCTTTTAGGAAGTATCCAAAACATACAAGTTTCATTATATAATTTTTCAAGGGATCTTATATCTGTTTTCACTTTTGTATGCTTTTCATACAAGTTTCTCACAAGACATATACAAACTTTATAAGATTTATATATATCTTTTCCATATGGGTTGAACCACTTCTAGAAGCAATAACGGGAAGTGATGTGACCTTTATCAGTCTCTCAAATCATTGCAGAAGGATTTTGGTCCATTCTGCAGCGTTGCTTCAGTTCCTTTAGGTTTACAGGAATTCTTTTATGCACAGCTCTCGTAATGTCCCACCTCAACATTTCAAGGGTTATGGGTTGAGGTTTGACTGGGCCATTGCATCATGTCTCTTAATTCTCAGCCAATCTGCTTTAGATTTGCTGGCATTCAACAGTGTCCTGTTGCATGACATAATTTTGACCGAGCTTTAGCTGTCGGACAGATGGCTTCACATTTAATTAACTCTAGAATACTTTTGTATACAGAGAAGTTCATGGTCAATTCAGTGACTGCAAGGCTCCAAAAAAGGCCCAAATTATCGTCTCCAATCATCATGATCAAATGTGGTGCTGTGCATTTGGTCTTGTCTGCCCAAAAGAAATTGTACCAGAAGTCTTGTGGTTTGTCCTGATACAACATTGTAAA